AAAAAAAAAAAAAAGAAACAAGCCATCTACACATGAATATAATATAATGCACTGTGCTGTGAGCTGTTGAATATTAGGGGAGCATGCTGACAGAGAATGAGTGAATAACAGGGGAGGGGGATAACCTGATTACAGTATGATATATACAGGTCTGAAGTACCAAGGCAAAACCCTCTTGGACTATCAGTATATACTTAAAAAAAAATTAAAAGGCAGAAAGGTAAAATAAATCTTTCTGGTGGTGAGTACCAATGGGAAGGGGTGTGCATAAGGAAAGGGTGAATGAGAGTGAATATGGTGTATGTATTTTGTATTCATATAAGAAAATAGAAGAATGAAACCTGTTGAAATTGTTCTAAGAGGGGAAGAGGGAGAACGATGGAGGGGGTAAATCAAACTAAGAAATATTGTAAGCACATGTAAATATCACAATTTATCCCCCTGAACAAATATTAAATGCTAATAAATTTTTTTATAAGTTAGGTGCTTAACCCATTTTTAATTAATTTTTGTACAGCATAAGGCAAGAGTCCAACTTCATCCTTTCGCAGTGGGTATCCAGTTTTCTTTATACCATCTGTTGAAGAGACCATTCTTTTCCCCACTGAATGGTCTTGGCACCCTTGCAAATAAACTGACTACAGACAGGAGGTAACCAATGTTCTTGGATCACATCTAAGTGGGAAAAATTAAAGCAGAGCAATTGAGAGATTTAGCCTAGATCACATATGGTATGCAAAAAAGCTAAAGGCTAGCCAGGTGCAGTGATGCACAGCTGTAATCCCAGCACTTGGGAGGCTGAGGCAGGAGAATCCTGAGTTCAAGGCCAGCATGGGCTACAGAAAACATCAGAAGTCTAATCGCCCATTAAAGCTTTAGAAACTCAGTAGGCCTTCAAACTCTGTCTGCAACTTTTTTTCTAAAACATCTTTGCCAATATATAATTTGCATAGCATAAAGTTCATCCACTGAAAGGGTACATCTGGAGTTGTGCAACAAACCACTACCTTAATGTAATTTTACTATACTATCACCAACCCTAAAAGAAGCCTCATATTCACTTGTAGTCACTCCCTAGCCCCACCCAATCTGGTACAACAACCAGTCCAGTTTTTTCCTTATAGATTTGCCTATTTTGAACATCTCTTGTGATGAAATAGTGTATACCAGTATGTGGTCTTTTGTGACTGGCTCCTTTCACTTAGCATAATATTCTTGAGGTGCATCTACATGTACCATCTTTGAGTCCTTCATTCCTAACTGATGAATAACACTCCACTGTATGCATGGACCACATTTTGTTCATCCACTCACCAGCTTATGGACATTTGGGTTGTTTTACTTTTTAACTGCTATAAAATAATGGAGCTGTGAACACTCATGTCCAAGTTTTAATGTGGGTGTTTGTTCTTATGTCCTGGATAGATACTCAAGTTTAATCTTACTGAGCCCCAGGAGTGTGTCAGAAACACACTAAGTATTAGGAACAGAAAGATGAAGGGAGCCCAGTCCTTGTTTTCAAGGAATGCAGAATGTGGTACAGAGGACAGAGGGACAAAGCAATAAAGGTGATACACAATGAGGCGGGCACCAACTGCAACAGCAACCAAGAGGAGAAAACAACGAAGTCTGTCTTCAGAAGTCAGGCAAGGTGGAGGCAACAAAGTCACCGGGGAGTCAGGAGTGGCTGAGGACCACTTTCAATCCTAAGTCATGGAGTTTGTGATTTCACACATTAGGCAATGGGAAACCATTCAAAAATCAACTGGGAAGAGGAATAAGCACAGATAACAATGACTTAATACTGACACACTTCCCCGACCAAGAAGGTCAGTCTAGTGATGACCCACCATATGACTGGTGGTCTGAACACTGGCAGGTGACACATTCAAAACAAAAGTCTACTCCCTCAAAGCCAATTACAGTTTGCCCTTTTAATTGATGAAGCAAACATTAGTAAGGAAGGGTAACTATAAAAACTATATGTGGGTAAAGGAAGACTAGTACAAAGCCACATAAATTGGTAACCCAAAATGCTGTTTGATTTCTACTCCAGAACATGATCAGATAAATAATTCTACCTTCACTAAGTAGTTTTGTTTTCAGAGGTAGTAGGGTTTGAAATCAGGGCCTCTCCCTTGCTATGCAGGCACTCAACCACTTGAGCCATGCTCCAAGCACTTTTTGGCTTTAGTTATTTTTCAGGGAGGGTCTCCTGTTTTGCCCAGGCAGGCCTTGGACTAGAGTCCTCATATCTATGCCTCCCATGAACCTGGGATACAGGTGTGCATCACCATGTCTTTCAAGCATGAAGCCCTGAGTTTAAACCCCAGGACCACAAAATAATAAAAATAGTTTACTTAACCTTAACACCTGCTCTCTCACTGACCACTGGTGATAAATATCAGCAATTCATGAAGTCTTCCATAGGAAGAATGTGGAAGTAAAAGTGGAAAGAAAGAACTAGAAAAGGTAAAAAAGCCTGTCACATTAGGTCCCAATCAGTTAGACCTCAGAGGAGAGGGAAAACCTAAGGCATTTTCTGTAGTAATTCCCAGCACAAGAGTGCCACCTGCTGTGACCCAGCTGGCCAGTGTAAACCCTTCTACTTTGATGGAAGTATTTGCCAGGCATACAGCACCTCTCCTGCTCTCACCTGGCCCACGGCAGCTCCAATGCTCCCAGTTCCATCAACAATTCCTGTGACAGTTGCCAAAGCCTCACTGCTCCCTTGGATCACCTCCTGGCGACCCAGGTCTGCAGAAATGGCTGAGCTGATCATATTAGAAGGTCCACCAATGAAAAACCCTGAGGAGATTAACAGAACAGGTTCTTATTAAAACATGATATACAGCAACACTAGGAATCTTCTGGATAAGGCAAAATATCATCACAATATTTTAATTATTATGTTGGAGAGAAAATGAGAATATAAAGGAAACTCTTCCTGATTATCATCTTCAAACTAACTAGCATCCACTTTTCTGAAGCCCCTTCTTAAAATTAGAACATTTACAGAGCTTAAAGACAGAAAAACATAGTGAAATAAGTAGCCTTTCTAATTCGTGAAGTCTGCATTCATTAATAACTAATTAACTGCACAAGCCTGTTGCATCACATGAGCATTTGCTACCCAAATTCAAGCAAACAGTGAAACAGAGAAAGGAAGAGGAAAAGTGTTCTGATGCTACAGAGGATTCAATCTGCCAGCTCTGGGTGAGGTACCAAGAGCTGGGCATGGCTTGGCCCAAGTAAACTGTTTCACACAGCTGGAGTCAGTGCCGTGTGCCTGTGCAGCATGAGCAGTTCACTCCCTCAATATGAGCTGAAGTTTTAAAAACTAGTAATTTTTCCACAATATGGTCTCTAATTATGCCCCACTATTCCACCTAGTGCTAAAGTGAAGAAATACTGACCAATTCCAACACAGAAGGGACAACTAGCTATCCCAGACTTTTCTAAGATTGTGAATTGGTTCCTAATGTGGCTTCTTCCTAAATCACTTCTCAAGTCATACCTGGAGCTTGGGAAAAATCGAACTTTTAGAAAATGTCTCAATAGGAACAGCTTCTGTCACAAGAAGGCTAAGGAAGTCACCCAACAGTAGAGAGTAGACTCTGCAAAAGGAGGCATCTTTCTTTTCCATCATTTGAGATCTCCTTCTCACTGAATCTGAGGGACAGACAGTTTCCCTTATTCTTTTGAATTTCCAGAGGAACAGCATATGGAACGGAACTACCTGCCATACCTGTAACAGTCATCAGAAGTGCATTGATGGACTTATCATTCGGAGAACCTGTAGGGAGACACAGACAAGTCACAGTGACTTGAAAGGTGGTTACATGGGCGTCCTCCAACAGCACACAGGGTCTAATCTCTGTGACCTCCCAAATCCTTCCCATAGACAACAAAGAGATAACTCTGTCATTCCCCCTTCCAACTTTTATTTGTAATGTCTGCATCTTGCTGCTGCTCAAGCTAGTAAGACTTCTAAAAGCTAGAGAAAAACTCTGCCTTGTGTTAAGAACACATACACCAAGCCTAATTACCATCTCCCACTTAGGAAACCTCGCCTCTTTTATTGTTTTATTGGCTGTAATGCTGTCCCTCTGGAGCCACCCATCAAACAAAGCACACACACTCCCAAGCAAGCTTTTAAACAAATCCACAAAGCAGAAGAGATGCCAGTTTCCTCCTTATACAAATAAACCATGTTATGACAGCTTCCAGGCACTCACAGGAAGATACAAAGGTGGCATATCTAGCTTCCGAGCTGGTCACAGGCTCTCCCCAGGGTTGACCCACTGGCTCTGGGCAAATGCTTGTTCCCAATACACCAGGAAACAACACCACTGCAAAGGAATACTCACGGCTATACCCAACAAGGGACCCGATCGCCAGGAGCAGGCTGAGGGCCAACACGGGTGCTCTTCTCTGTAGTATGTCGGAGATGAAGCCTTGCAGAGTTCCACCTTCAAGCACAAAGAGCGCCTTGAGTCAGAGCCAAGTCTCAGCCAGCTCAGCTGCCCAAGGCATGCTTCCCATCTACCCTCTGTTCTCACTGTCAGGTCCAGCCAGAGACGGCTGGCTCAAACCAAAAGTCTTCTCCGTTCCTTCTTTTTTAGGAAGACAAACTGACTGTTAGACCACAGTGATGGTCAATGTGGACAGGACACCACAAATCAAACATCAAAGTAAGAAAAGAAGAGGCTCATCAAACCATTCACTATCCCTTACTGTTTTCCCTACAAAAACAAGTTGTGTATACTTTTCCTAATTTTTCTGCTTTTTAACTTAAAAGATGATTAAGGACAATGCTTCACGGGCTACTAACAAAAAATAACCAAAAAATATTCCCTAAAATTAAATCAACAATTATGGTTTGTTAACAACAAATGGGTCAGGATGTTTTAGTTTGTTTTTTGTTTTGTGTATTGCTGGACTTGATCAAACAAGGGCCCCTTTTTTTCCTTTTGTACCTAGGAAATTTTGTACCTAGGAAAGCTCAAATACAGTAACAGTGTATCGCCTAGGGATACACTGTGTGCTTTTCATGTGCTCAGGGCAGTTGGCACAATTCTAAACTAGGAAGGAGGTGCCATGACCATGTAAATAAGCAACACCACAAAAGCAACTCTGCTCATCAGCCTTATTTAAAGTTCTTACTTCCTTGTTCATATTTCTGGGTGTAGTACAAAGTCACTATTGAACTCTGTTGTAGGGCTGGGGTGTGACTCAGTGGTACTGCACTTGCCTAGCATTTATATTATAAGGCCCCAGATTTGATCTCCTGCACCACAATGTACACAGGACAGTGTGATTTTTCACTTCCTTACCTGGGGATGGCTCCACCCAGGGAGGTAGGAGGTAGCCAAAAACAACACATTACCATTCTAATTTGGACCTCTCACACAATTAGCTTTAGAGCCAAAGAGATATCATGGAAAGTCTACAAAAGGGTTGCATGTAAAGAGATTCCTGAGCCTTTCCCAAGACAAAAGAATTGATCCATCAACAAAGAACTAAGAAAAGACAGCCCTATAAATCACAGTCCTGTCTTGGGCTGGGTCCTCCATTCAATGAACATTTTTAAAGAATTTTGGTTGTTTACTAATAGGACAGTTTTAAAAAGATGGCTGTAGAATAAATAATAAAACTTTAACTGAAGCCAGATTTCCTAACCCATTAAAAAAGTATCAGTGACTAGCTCTTTGCTCTGAAAGAAGATGTGCACTGGCATACCTATGATCCCTCCGACATCGTACCAGATGGACAACTGGTCAGCTTCAGCCTCCTTCCATCCAAAGTTGTTACTCAGATAAAATGGCAACCAGAAGAAGAAGGAGTAATTCACAAGCTTCAGGCAGGCATAGGCCAGTGAATACTATAAGAGAAACATGCAACTGTCAACAAGGAACAAAAAGCATAGCATGACTTTAAATGTAATTGACATAATGTTAATGACATAACTTTTAATGTAATTAAAAGGCAAAGCAGAACACCAGAGAGTTTGGAGTGAATGGTCTCTAATTTTACAATTACCCATCTTTACACATTCCTTCTTGCCTGACTTTTTTTACCCAGTCTCCCCCATTAGCTTCTGGAAAGGCCACAGGAGTAAAAAGCACAAGGGGATATTTCTCAGCTATTCCCAGTTTCTTCTATCATTTCTCTGGTAAGAGCAAACCAGTGTTTGGAACCCAAAAGGTTGAGCACACGCCAGTATTCCTTTATTCAACAAAAGTAAGTGGTATTCATGCCACTAACCACCACTAAGCCATACACAAATAAATCCAGCAAACACCACAGCTTTTCCCTGAAGCAGCCAAACTTTTCTTGGTTATTCTACTCTCTGGAAAGTCAATATGGTAAACCATGAAGAGCAATGTGACTCAACCATAGATTCAAGGTCTAAGAAAAGCAGCCACATAAGAACTACTTCAGATTAGAGCTTCCAAAAGCCCTACACCCCACACCCTGTAGCAAAGAAGAGCATCCCTAGTGGGATGCTAGGAAGGAATTTGGTCATCCTTGGCCTCTGGTCTCTCTTTCGAAGGAAAACACTTGCAGCTGCTCTAAGATGGTGGTAGGGCTGAGACGCCTATATTCAACACATTATTACCAGGAAATCCTGACATTTAGCTTCAAAGGAGAAGTGGGAGGGCCAGAGAGGCTGACTTCAAAGGGTGTCTGGCTAGTATACTCCTGCCCCTGAGCTGCCAGCTATTCCCTAGGTACCACTTGTTTTAAAAGAGCTTCCCTGGCAGGGTAGCAGCCACCCCCTAGAGAGCCAAATCCTAATCATCAGAGCATTCTGTCCAGACAGCCTGCTACAAAGACAAAGGCATAAAGTTAACTAGATTTCCTTTACACCCCAGCCTTGCCTGAGAACAATGGCCTGGGAAGTACAAAGGAACTGGTAAGAGCTCTATTTTAGTCACAACAAATTGAAGTTCTATCTCAACAATTAAACTATTACCAGCAGGGTATTTTAATATCTAGTGGAAAGACAGTACCTCAGCAGAGGAATGGCCTAAAGGAACCTGCATTTGCCTTATATTAGAAATCATCTTTGGGTTAATGAGTTGCAGAGAAATTACACTTGCATTCTAACTCACTTAACTACCTGTTTGAAGTACTGGTTTCCTTAAGTTTGGGGGCAGAAGAGAACTGGTAAGTATGAAATGAGATGGCCTGTAAACTCTTGACTCGACCTGGGATATATATTTACAAAGCTCCATTAAATTAGAGCAACAAAAACAGGTGCTTGGTGACCACACAATAGCCCAGTGTTCTAGACCCATGGATAACAGGTGAAATTTCCATCCCACAGGAAAGGGAACTGAGACACAAGGACGGGTGAGTGACTTACCCCAGGTCTCACAGAAAGTTAGTGGGTAAGCTGGAAACATAACCTAGGCCTCTTAACTTCCACTCCAGTGCTAGAGCTCCCGAAACATCAAGACAGAAAAACTGCAGCAGAAGGGATTCAGTCCAGATGTTAGAAAGTTTTCCTGACTGCAAAGTTGCAGAAACACTGGAATGCATTACCGAGAAATACTATGGAGTGTCCTGTTCTAGATTGTTTGAAAAAAGGGCAAGCAATTTTTCCTGGAATGATTATAATGCAGGCAAGTAAGGCAATGAACCATTTAAACCCTTCTTAGCCAGACACTGGAGGTTCACGCCTGTAATCCTAGTACTTGGGAGGCAGAGATCAGTAGGATCTCAAATTGAAGCCAGCCCGGGCAAATAGTTTGCAAGAGCATATCTCAAAAGAAAACATCACAAAAGGGGCTGGCGGAGCGGCTCAAGTGGTAGAGCACTTGCCTAGGAAGCATGAGGCCCAGAGTTCAAAAATGTATAGCATCACCAAAAATAAATAAAATAAA